AATATAGATGTAAGCACCAAAAAAACAGATTTTTGTCTTCTTTGTTCTCTGTTGTTTCTCCAAAAACCTACAAACGTGCATGGCGCAGAATACTAATTCAATATATATCCATTAAATGAATGAATTGGGAGCCGGTGCTGTGGTGTAGTGGGTTAATCCTCTGCCTGTGGTGCTGGCATCCCATATAGGCCCCAGTTCTAGTCCTGGCTGCTCCTTTTCCTATCCAGCTCTCTGCTGTGGCCTGGGAAAACAGAAGATAGCCCAAGCACTTGGGTCCCTGCAACCACGTGGGAGACCCAGAAGAAGCTCCTGGCTCCTGACTTCGGATCAGCTCAGCTCCGGCTGTTGTGGCCATTTCGGGAGAACCAGCGGATGGAAGACCTTTCTCTCTCTGTCTCTGCCTCTCACTGTCAGTAACTCTACCTCTCAAATAAATAAAATCTTAAAAAAAAAGAATTAATGAAATACAAAACATGAGAACGATACTAAATACCATTTAATGTCTTTGGATGATTAAGAAGAAAAATAAATAAATAAAATAAATGAATGAATTGATTAAAGTTTTTCTGCTACCCAGACCTTCTTGTTAAAAATAAAGATAAATAATACTATTCTGTAACTGCTAAAAAAAGATCTATAGCGGAAATTCATTATCAAGTGACCTGAATAATATTTGTGCCAAAAAAGGTCTGTATTTTCTTTAGGCCATTCATTACTACTTCTTTGGTAATGTCCAAAGCACAAAGTCTTCAATTAGCCAATAACAGTTTTCCTCTAGGACAAAACACTTAAAAGAGTTTATGTGGGAGTTATCGCCCCAGAAGAAGACATATTACGGGGCATTTCATCGTTAGGACAGCCTAAACTGGGAAAGCAGTGGTGAGCTGAGGATCAAAGGATGAAGTGCCATCCAAGCTCCACCCCTTAGGAGCTCTGTGAACAAGCAGCAATCTCTCAAAATCTTAGCTATTATTTGAATTAAGAAGTACAAAATCAGACACTCTGTAATCTTAGACTTGTGAGAATATTTGAATGGCAATTTTCAGATTGCTTTCCCAATCACTGTGTGTTCATGTCATTAAGTAAATACTTTTTAAAGCCACAGTTTTTGGGATACATACGGACCCATTTAGACTATCTTCTCCTACTCAACCCTCAATCTTTTTCAAAAAATATCTCTGGAAAATCAGTTCGGGACTTGGAAGTTGAGTGTGAGGAGAATGGAAGAAAATGTGTGACTGGCAAAACCATCCCTTTTATAGTCCTTTTATTCTTGCACCAAAATATGCTTAGTATAACGGAGCACAGGAAAGAGTTTTTGTTCTTTGAGTGTAAGACAACAACTTAAACTGAGATTCTTTTCAGAACCTTTTGTACTCATTGAAAAATGCTCACCATTTTACACTACATCCTAAGTCCCTGTCCTCTGCTGTATGTCTGATGCAGCTCTTCTGAACCCACTCAAAAGTTACTCTGACCATACACTGAGCACTACACTCACAAAATGAAGACATCTCCACAAAGGGAAAAACGTGTGTTTCTATCCAGAAAAATTTTTCCCATTTGTCTCCTACTACAACGACTCATGACAACTCAAATAAGCATGGCATCAATGGGGAAGGGAAAGCAGAGAGGTTCATTAAGTCTAGAGTACTGGAAGCACATCTTCACTTGCAAGTTTAAAAACCAGAGAATAAGAAAAAGGACTGTTATATATATTTGCAACTCTCTCTAAAATAGTCACCATAAGCAGTTAACTTTTCAGAAAAGCTGTGAAGAATATATTATATATGCTCTTTTGATTCTACATTTATATATATATATATATATATATATATTATACAGTCCTGTGATACCATATTTGTGCTTTTCAAAAACATGAACAATTATGGAGAATTATTTCTATAATTTAACTTGCTGTCTTGGTCTTGTTCTGGCTTATGATTGCTATCACTTTACCCATATAATGAATTATTCTAAATAACAGAAAAACAAAATAATGACTACTTTCTACATTGCAGGATATTATAAGAGATATAATGTATGCAGCAAGTAATGAATAAATGACAGAAAATTTGTGACTACATGCATGTGAGTACATGACTACATTATAGTAGATCTTCCTAGATAAGGCCAATCTCCTCTATAATGACTTAAGGAAAGTCAGTAGTGCACCCTGACTGACACTGAGCAGAATTAGGGAATGACTGGCCAAGTGCCAAACAAACTGGGGAAGGGAACACCACTGGCCTTCCATAGCCCAACTGCTCTGCTAAAAGTATTTCAAGGAACTGCCCTTTAATCCCAAACCTGCTGTAATTTGTCAAAGACAGAATCAGCAATATCATTGCAAGAATCCAGATCATTTGGAAACATAGCAAAAACACTCATATTTAAACAGCATAACTGGAACTAAAGGTAAGAATGGCTTCAAATGATATAAGAATCACATCTCAAAAGCTGCTTGCAAATTACTCTTTAAATTGGAATCTTGCTTTACTTAAGTTTCCCTTGTTTGTATGCAGGCATTTTCTCTCTAGAACAGATGTCTCCATAAAGACGATAGTAAAGTAAGTTGAAACAAATCAACAAATACTTATGTGGTTGCATTTAGCATTTAGAACATACTGTGTGTGTGTGTGTGTGCGCGCACGCGCGTGCACACGTATGTATGTGTGTGTGTGTGTTGGGAGATCTGGATCTCCAAAAACAAAGTTTAAAATGTTTTTTTTTAGAAAATAACAATAAAAAGCTTTCAGCATAATAAATTTACTCAGTATTTTTTCACTATATATTGAACTTTTCATCTATTCACAACATTTTCTAATTACAGCATAGATCAGAATTTCTTGGCCCAACAACCAATTTTTTATCACTTTTGGCAATGAAGTGGGGTATTTTGACTGCACAACTTTGATCTCAGAGATGATTCATTCCTTTCCTGCACCTAGATCCTTTAATTCAAAAGGTCTTTGAACTGTCAATGATGTGTACATACAGCATATAGTAAGCAAAGTGACAGCAAAGATACACAAGAACAAGACCAAGAGAATAAGTTCAATTTAGAAATAATTCTCCATTTAGAAATAATTGCTTTTGAATAGTAAACACAAGTGTAGAATCACAAAAGCATCAAATATAATTGCAGAAAATTATCTTATGATGGCCACTTATTCTGTTTCTCAAAAATAAATGGCAATGAAAGCATCAATTTGTATAGCATGGCTTATGCTTGCAAAGAAAGACTTTACATCTCCATGAGGAGACTGCATCAGTGAGTGGTGAAGAAATACTGTCCTGGACCTGATGCTGCCAGAGTTCATGCTGCCAGGACTGATGCTTATTAAGTTTGAAACACCATCTTTAATTCAGATTCATATTTATCATACCACATGACAGGAGGCAAAAGGAAAACAAGTAATGGAAGATGTAATGACAAAATGTGATGGAAAGACACAGGAACATCTTCTAGCACCAGCAAAATCAATGGTCTTGACAAAAACTGAGGTCCAAGAATATTTTCAGATCACAAATAGCGGAAAATTTCCACACCGTTTGAGTTTAACCAGCATTCTTTATGTTCTCTGCAACAATTTGATGACAAAATTTTTCTTTCACAGAGCTTTTAACATAGAATTAAGTCTCTGGGCCAGGATTCAGTTAATTTTTATTACAAGATGATTTCAATTATTTCTAATCTGCTACTGATATACACTTAAAGCCATAAGAACTTTCCACAAAATTTCACACCGACATCAATGTCCACAGTCAGAGCCAATGGCTTTAATTCATTTTGCTCATTTTCCATGACATTCAAATGAAAGATGGAGCAGAAAATATTAACAGCATATCTGATAACAACATGTCATTATTCATGCCAAGGGGATGATTGTGTCACTTGTCTAAATTCTACCTTACAGCTCTGGCTTCATTGGCGAACTTAGCAGTCACTATATTAGAAAAGCTACAATCACATTTAAATTGGCTAGATAAATGTGTTTCAGTTACCTCCACAAATTTGGTCCCAAAAGGAAATATCAATCATTAATAATGACCTACCAAACAATCAGAGTGATATACATATCATATTCAGACAGAATTGTAAATAAAAAACTGTGTATTTTAGAAATCCATTAATGGGATGTACAAGATCCAATCTAAAATGTATCAATAATAAGATCAAGGCATTGGACAGAAAAAGTTGTTTCAGAGGCCGACTACTGATTGTGTTAGAGAGGTTTTGAGACTGGCATGGTATATCGACAAGGGATAAACTGTGAACCAAGAAGAATCCATCACAGTTTGCTCATGTCTTAGACAAGAAATAAATAAAAACTACCAGCTGTTAAAACATTTCCAAGAGAATGTATTACTTATAAGAATAAGTAATATAAAGTTGACAAGGGGGAGGCATTGCGGTACAATGGGTTAAACTGCCATTTGAGACACCCACATCCCATATCAGAGTGATGTCTCCAGCCCATGCTTCCCATCCAGCTGCCTGCTAATGCACCTAGGAAGGCAGCAAATGATGTCCCATCTACTTGGATCCCTGCCACCTATGTGGGAGTCCAGGACAGAATTACTGCCTTTGGTTTCAGCCTGGCCCAGTCCCAGCTATTGCAGGTATTTGAGGAGGGAACCAACAATAGCAGAACTCTCTTGCCCACTCTCCATTGTTCTCCCCCTCTCCCTCTTTGTCTCTAAATAAATATTAAGAGAAAACAAATGCAAAATAACTGAAACTTCATGTACTCCTGCTAATAACAATGATAAATATACAACTGATCTTAGAAAATTAAATTTATAGAAATAACATAAAACTGGCAATGGCTAAATATTAATAGAAAAATTAAATCTTAAAATTTTAGCCATGCCAATATTTGAATGAATCTGGACATCATAAAATAACAATTTCAATGACAGAAACTAGGATCATTAACATTATAACACATGTCAGAAATTTTTACAA